ACAGTGAACAGATAATGGTGATCGTCTGCTGCAACTGTGCTCAAACAATCGTTTATTTTTAGCAAACACAAATTTTAAGCATATAGAGAGACACCGTCTGACATCGCAACCTTCTGCACCAAATCAACGATGGACTCAAATAGACCATATTGCCATCAGTCATCGTTTGAGAGGGTCGATAGAGGATTGTCGCTCATTCTGGGGTACCTGTTTGGATTCCGATCATGCCCTAATACGAGCACTCATCTGCTTGCGCCTCACTGGACACAAAAAAGACTCATTAGAACCGAATTGAGTAATGAGAAAACCAAAAGTAGGTTCCAGGAACAACTGAGGTCACACTTAGCTAGTTCTGAAAACGAGGCTGACCCAGATGTTGCTTGGAAAGACATACAAGCAGCTGTGGAAACAGCAGTGACATCTACTAGTGATTTAAACCACAGGGTTACAAAGAACCAATGGATTTCTTCAAGGTCTATTGCACTGATGGATTCTCGCAAACACATCCCATCAGGTTCTGAACACGATGAAGAGCGTAAAGAAATCAGATCTCGGTTAAGCAAAAGTCTAAGGAACGATCGTGAGCAGTGGTGGGCAACGAAAGCAAAAGAGATGGAAAAGGCGGCGGCTATAGGGAACACAAGACAACTCTACAGACTAATAAAAGAAACTGGAATCAATAAATCAAGTGTAAGTCAAACTATTTCGGAAAAAGACGACACTTTCATCTGCTCCCAGTCCAGACGCTTAGAACGATGGGCGGAACACTTTAAGGAGCATAAATAAATAATATCAAACCTTGGTAACGATACCTACTTTAAGGAGCAGTTTAGCTGGCCTTCAGCTAATCTACAACTACCCTCTATTCCCAGACAGTATGAATGGAACATTGAAGTAGGTCCTCCAACTCTAGCTGAAGTTCAAAAGGCTATAGCTAATCTGAAACGAGGAAGGGCAGCTGGTCCAGACGGATTGGCCCCAGAGGTCTTTAAGGATGGTGGTCTAGTCTTAACGATTAGGTTGACTAATATTTTAGCTAAAATCTGGGAGTTAGACGTCATCCCACCTAACTGGTCACAATCACTTATCGTCCCAATATTTAAGAAAGGGTCAAAATCATCCTGTGACAACCACAGAGGGATTAGTTTGACTAATATAATATCTAAAATACTAGCCTCGATAATTTTCGGACGCCTAAGACTCATGAACTGAAAACATGAGAGAATCAAGCTGGCTTCAGACCTGGTCGTGGCTGCATCGACCACATATTCACCATTCGTCAGGTTCTAGAACACAGGCATACTCATCGGCGTCCGACAATAATGGTCTTCCTTGACTTAAAAGCAGCGTTTGACTCTGTTGACCGAGATGTTCTGTGGCAGTGTCTGTTATTGAAAGGCGTACCTCAGAAGTACATAAACCTTGTGAAGGCTCTTTACTCGAATACTACTAGTCGAGTCAGAGCTTATGGCGAACTGTCATCTGCTTTTGCAACATCAAGTGGGGTCCGCCAAGGCTGTTCACTTTCTCCATTTTTGTTTAACTTTATCATAGACATCCTGATGGAAATAACGCTCTCATCGACTGAATTCTCAGGTATTGATCTCCTACCAGGAGGTCCACTTATTGACTTAGAATACGCAGATGACATAGTCCTGTTTGGTGAAGACGCTGATGAAATGCAGAGTCTTTTGTTAGCACTGAGCAACAATGCCCGAATGTTTGGGATGCGCTTCTCTCCCTCCAAATGCACGTTGTTGCTTCAGGACTGGTCTGCGTCAACACCCGAACTAAAGATAGGGAGTGAAGTAGTCGAACGCATTGACAACTTCACTTATCTTGGAAGTCTGATCAGCCCTAATGGGTTGGTGTCTGACGAAATCTCAGCACGGATTCGAAAAGCTCTTTTGGCTTTTGCCACCTTACGTCACTTATGGCGAAGGCGAGATATACGTCTATCAATTAAGGGACGAGTTTACTGCGCGGCAGTTCGTTCCGTTCTACTATACGGCTGCGAAACATGGCCTTTAAGAGTAGAAGATACTCTTAAGTTACTAGTATTTGACCACAGATGCCTTAGAAATATTGCGGGTATGTGCTGGGATCACCGGGTAAGAAATAGTGAGGTTAGACGCAGGGTATTAGGGAATGATGGTAAATCAGTTGATGAGGTTATGAATCTTCATCGACTGAGATGGTTGGGCCACGTGTTACGTATGCCTGAACACCGATTACCCCGACGCGCAATGCTAACCGGTGTTAGGGATGATTGGAAGAAAGTTAGGGACGACCAAACCAAAACGTGGCATCAGTGCTTGAAGTCACTAACTTCTGGTCTGAGCCATGTTGGTAGATGCAGACTACTTGGTTTGGGTCCGCGTGACTATCGTAAGCAATGGTTGGAGACTCTTGGTGACATGGCTCAGAATCGATCACAATGGCGTCGGTGTATACACTCTCTGTCTTCCCTTAAACTAAGTGATTAAAATCGCTTCATGTCTTTCTTTCTACGAACTAATTCTTTCTTCCTGTATTATATCATTATACACAATCTTTCTTTTATATACTACCACCCTTGATGTGACTACTCCTATGAATCCGGTGTTCATCTTGTTGTGCTAATGCGGTATGGCAACTTGGACCGATGCATGTATGTGCCTGGTCCTACGTTGCAGCTGACTGACTGACTGACAATTTGAAATTTAATGAGGTTTTAATCAATAAATAGATTAAAATTCATGCATTGACAAACCATTTTTCACTAAACAAATTATTACAAAATAATTTCTCATTATTGCTATTTTAGATACTATAGATATTCAATTAAGGAGTTGCATATTAAGATGAAATATATACACTAATTTCCACTATTAGCTTCATATCAAATTTATTATAATATTCATTAAATAAAATTTTACAAGACAACATATTCTAAACATAATTATCTTGTTTATCGTAGATAATAAAAGAATATATTTGTGAATAACTAACAGATTCTTATAGTTAATGCAATGGATTAAATCCACTTATTAAATCAGTGAACAGAATATGATTATTTGTAGTTCTGCTGATTAACGAAGTGAATTTATGTTTTTTTTAAAAAAAGCAGTTTTTACTAGGTATGTGTTAAGAATACCATAAACTCTTACCTTTTGTTTTTAAAATTCTACCATACTTATTCATAAAATTTGGAAATTTGGTTACGTAATAAAATTTTCAAATTGTTTAATATCTGTGTGAAATCTGGGGTTTCTGGGCTAAGATATTAAAATGATTATCTATTGTGTATGATTGTCACCTATATCTAAGAGTAAAACTGTTTAAGTAATACGGACGACCAGGTGATGTATGCTTTTGCATAATGCAGCTGATGGTTTTGCTAATATTACCGTCCTGAAACAACAGTTTGTGTAAATTTGTAACATTTTACGCAAATTGATCCAGTGCCTTCAAAACTTTTTATTAAGTTAAAATTATGAGGCAGATAGATGTTCAGTTTACACTATAGAGCAGTGGTATAAAAAACCACAGCTTATGACTGATATCTGTTATCCCGTTACAACTCGTTAGATGAGATTCTAAATATTGTATGACATAATGATACTTAATTTTATCATTAAACCTGTTGTTAACTTAATCGATACGCTTACAGACAGTTCATCTAATCGTATGTCATTATCAACTAAGGTGAATTAGAAAGATTGTTTTTCTTTCATTTTAATTGGAAACACCAAATAATAATCTTTTTTTCATGTGCCAATAAATATCCGAACACAACTTGAATTTAAATGTGATGATGTTACAGCCACAATAAACAGAAGATTAAAAAGCACACTGACCAGAACTTGTTCTGCAGCCAAGCTGATTATCTTGTATAAAACAGTATGATCTGTCACAGCAGTTAACCTGGTAGAAAAGTAAGAACGGCCTACCTTTGATTCCAAGAACATATCCCAAGAAGTCTCAGATCAACAGGATTTAAGCCTTTTGGTAGTGCTATTGCAAAACATCTTTGTAACACAGGGGGTTAAGTTAATAGACTAAAATGTTTTACTATCATCGGTCGACATTCGAATGCTGTTCTTCTGAAATTCGACTAATCCGTAACCATTAAACGACTAAAGCCGGGATTATGTACGCAAAAGGAAACAGTTGCAAATCCTTCTTTATCATAGTGGCTTTAACGTCAGTTTATTACATCATGTTTTGCAATTTTCTTATCTCTCTCCAATTTTAATTGCTCAACACAATAGTCAGATGAAAAGGCAAACAAAGAACACAGCTAACGCAAAAAAGACGAGGTTTGGGGCCTAACATTTTATTCAGTTGTCATTCGATACATATGTAAAATTGAGGGAATTGTCGTGGAACACATTGGCTCCGTTCACCTCATACTTGCACCGATTTTCTACCATCTAAAAGGAAAATGAAATGAACACATACATGATGAGAAGGTTGAAGAGGAGTTGATTTAACATACTGGCTGTAAGTAGGAGTACGCAAATATGGGTGAGTGAGCACACTAATTAGTCGGTCGAATGACTGACTGATCGACAGACTGACCGATTGACTAATTGATTGATTATTTGACTGACTGACTGACTGACTGACTGACTGACTGAATGAATGAATGAATGAATGAATGAGGGATTGGTGAAGTGTCCCAAACAAGAGTGTTTGAAAGTGACGAGATGAACGACCAGCTAACACTTCCCAATGCACTAACCACAGCACACAGAGAATGGAGACGGCGACCTGACAGAAATAAGCACCACATACATCGCCACATAGGACAAGAAGCCACACGAGTGGTGGGATGGATTGGTGACAGTCAGTGAACACACACATTCACTCAGTCAGTCAGTCAGTCAGTCAGTCACTCACTCACTCACTCACACACACAAACACAACACAGTGAATTCGCCAACCAGTTGTTAGACGTTTGATATGAGAGTGGAGAGTGATGAGTGTTTGTTGGTAGACTTACCTCGTGGTGGACGTTAGTATTTTCTTTGATGTGTTGGAGCGTACGGACCTGAAAACAAGTGAAACAGTGGGTGTTGGTCAGTCAAACACTCGGTAGATTACGTGGCACTTGTAGAGAAGTGGGTGAGTGAGTGAATGGTTGATTGTGTGAACTGGAACAAATGTGCGATGACATTCAACGTGTGAGTGTGAGAATTGATGGCGTTGTAAGAGTTAGTGAGTGAATGAGTGATTGATTGAGTATGTGATCTGGCTGTAGAGTGAGTGAATGTGTTAGCGAATGTGTGTATGTGCACGGGCGGGCGGGCGCGCGCGCGTGTGTGTTTGTGTGTTCGGAGGAATGACTGGTGTGTCGTAATGGTCAGGATTATTGAAATAAACGGAGATAAGGAATAGAAGTAGTTGATTAGTGTAGTGTCGACTTACCACGAACACGTGGTGGTGATCTGGGTGGGTAGGCTGGTCTCGGTCCTCTCTTCGATGGTTTCGGACGTGTGGTTGACTTCGTGTTGGCAGGCGAATCTGTGGAATAAAATCAGAGTACAGATGCACTGTCCACAGTCTGAACACGGGGACACATGATTCGAGTGATGCACACTGGGAAATCATTCCCAAGCAAAATTCAATGCACACCAAGAATGAAGAGTGGATGGACTTACCTGGTTTTGCTGAAGCTGCTGCTGGTGTGTCTGGTGCTGCAGGTGAATTCGGTGCGGCTGTTGCAGCTGGTTGCTGATCAGGTGATTTGACTGGAGATGAGGGTGCGTCATCTGCATTGAAAAACAGTAACGAAACAATGTGTTGTCGGTCTAAGTTAAGTTAAGTTCAATTGCAGTAATCTCATTCAGTTTGCGTTTCCATCAGGTGTGTGCATTTCGACGACTGACTTGACGGGTACCACTCACTACCTAACTACCTAATTGCCTAACTGACCGACTGCCTATCTGACTGACTTAGTAAGTAAGTAAGTAAGTGAGTAAGTGAGTGAGTGCATGAATCGATGAAATGTTGAATGAATGAATGAACTGGTGAATGAATGAATGAATCATCGGAGTGATGGATGGTTGGATGGGGGGATAAATGGATGAATAGATTGGTGAATGACTAGTCGAATGAATGAATGAGTGAGTGAATGATTGAAAGCGGTCCTTGTCTGTTGGTGTGAAGCTCACCTCCATCACAGTGCACCACATCCAGATAGTTCACAGCGAAGGCGAAAGTCAATATTGTCACCTGTGTGTGAGAGAGAAAGAGAGAGAGAGAGAGTTTTGTTTGGTTAGACGAATGAATGCCTCACCAATGTTCTTTGCATTTGTACGTTTGGTGATTTCTGATGTTCCAGTGAGTTGTGGACTAGAATTTATACGTTTGTGAAGTTGTCAATTTGTCGGTCAACCAATTGAATGCTAGTCTTCAACAAATCGTTACTGACATTGTGAGGTTTGATCGGTGGGAGAAAGTGTCATGTCACTTTGATTGAGTGAAACATTCAGTGAAATCAATTGACGGATTGAGTGACGTACTGTGAAGTTTGCTTGTTTGTCTTGTTCGGTGTTTAGTGTGTAGGAATGACGATGGTGTCAAGGAATGAGTTTACAGTCTGAATTATCCATTGTGATATTTTGATTAGCAGTTGTTGTAAGGAATTCCACACCCTACTTTTATAAGTTTTCATTTATTTACTATCCATCATTTTTATTGGTTATTTATCAGATGTTATTTGGAATTAATACTCTTATATTGTGACTTCGTTGGTTGGTTAATTACTGTAATGTGAAGTTGTTGGCTTATAAAAGCAGTGTTATATGATTCCATCAGTTAGATATTAATACCGTTGGACGGCGACTCAGTGGTCTTGAGGTTAAGCGTTTGCGTTTGAGACCAAAGGTTTCGGTTTCGAATTCCGCATGTGAGATCGAGGATGCACACTATTGAGGAGTCTCATACTAGGGTAAAACGGTTATCCAGTGTTTCCAGGTGGTCTAGATTAGATCGACTTATGAATTCAACCATCGTAATTCAGTATTGTCATTCTTTATTTCACACCTTGATAGAAACCTGTATGATTCATAAAAATGTCATGACCAATTTTGACGTTCTTTAAAAAAATCTACAAAATCAATTATAACTATCATACCTAAGTGTATGTGTATGTGTATATACATATGTGATAATGTGAAAATCGGACTGCATAAGATTAAATAATAATCAATATAACTAGTTAGAAAACAATTAACTTGATCAAAAAAGCACCAGTTTAATCGATTTCACATGATTTACATAATATCAAAAGTGAATTATCATATTAGAATCAGAAGTTTGTAGGGGTTTACCATTTCGAAAATCGTTTACATCACAAATTGACTTGTCTCGTCTTAATATGAAGCTTCTTTGTATTGCGTGTACGTGATTGCAGTTATAAGATTCTATTGGCAATCAAAAACATGTTTTTCAGGTCTCGAAGAAGGATAAAGAAACAAAGAGAGCTCGTCACCAAAGTTCTAGTGTGAGTTGTCATCGGTGCAAATCACCCAGGACTGATATAAAAATTAGGATCACTGAAGACAACCTATGGTGGTCGTAAAATATCTCAAATCGACTAGAGTTAGAAATGTGAATCACTGAATAAATTCCAACTCAGTCAGTAGTCTAAATGATAACATTTTTACTTCGAGACGTGAAGGTGTTAGCTTGAATATCATAATATATTATGAATTGTCACTCGTGAATAAACTGATAGTAGGAGGAAACATCTGTTCAGTGATGAGTACATTTTAATTAATGTTTGCCTCAATTTAGGTTATGGCTGAAATTCTCTTAAAAAGTTACGTTGATAAACTAAACAGCTATTTATATTGAATGTGAGTTTAAAGGAAACGTTGGTTGACACAGATAGTGAGTGATCTAGATAGATTAAGTTGGTTCTAATTAAATGATCTATCCTATGTAATTTCGTTTCCATGGGTGGATATTTACTGTAACTACCATATAGATAATTAATAATAAGATTAGATGTTTATTTTCCATTATATATTGCTTATCAAGTTATAATTTACATCTTTCTTTGTTTAATGATTGTCCTCTTAAAATCAGTTCACGGAGCAAACAATTTTCGTAATAAATGCTTGTTATTAACATATCTACTGACTGAGTGAAAAAATCTACAATTTTGCATATGAATTGAAGCTAGAAATGTAAATCAATGGATGCTGACAGTAATCTACATGTTAAGGAGTCATGAGTGCAAACTTCTGAATAGTTCTATACTAGGACTACACAGCTGTTTAATGTTTCCTGATTTCTGATAGCTGTCAAATGAAAATCAGTTTGTGATGCGAACTATTCGTAAATTAAAATTCTTTGTTAATGTGATCTAAATAATCAAATTTTCAAACATTTTAGTGTAAACTTAAATATTCATATAAGGTTTTACATGGATTACATAACATTATCCTAGTGTGGTTTTTCATAGACGAAATAAAAAAAACTAATTATCAGTATAGAGTTGTGGAAAGTGTTAGGTTTTTATTAAGATCATGAATCGATCAATGTTAGACCACCATTGAAAACCTGGAAGCACTGGACGGCCGTTTCGTTCCACTATGGGACTCTTGAGCATTTCGCATCCATGATCGCGCACGCAGGACTTATGATCTCAATCAAACTCAGTGGTCTTCACAACCCTACACTGATAATCATCATGTGATCACAAAGCGCTAGCTTCAAGAAGTAAGTTTTGGAGTTCTAGTGAGAAGCGGTGAACAGTGGAGTTCAATTTGAAGCAGTTACCCACCGTAGAAAATCGAATATTATCGCACGATTCCGCAGATTGATTGTAGTTAGACATTAACATAGACTCCAAATCATTGGTTTAGGGGTTAAGCATTCGCGTACGAGACAGAAGGTCCTGGGCCCGAGTGTCGCATTTTGTATCGTACATGAGCACTGGTGAAGTGTTCCGTACTAGGACGAAACGACTGTCCAATGCTTCCAGGTTTTCAATGGTGGTCTAACATTGATTGGTTTATAATCTCAATAAGTAAGCTGACGCCCCCAAATGCCCTGGTACGGCCGAGAGTGGGGAGAGTCCGCTCTCCCTCTCGAAATGCTCTCACATGGTCATGCGTGTATAGCCTCTGTCAAAGAAGTCCTACTCACTGCCTTCTCGTGGCGGGGGTGTTGTTTACGAAAATGAGAGGACGAAAAGCGAATGTCCGGCGCTTTAACCGGATCCCAGATCAACGGTGCTCATGGGCTCCAGTATCCTGAGGAACAAATGGCGTATGAACCAATCGTTGGTCACCGGCTACCATAGGACTGCATCTCCTTACGATGTTCCACTGCCTTGTGGATCAGACCTTCAGGTGGAAGGCTCAGGGTGTGGCCCCCTAAGAAAACCACCTGCTTCGGTTTGGGCACCCGGGCAGTATCACAGCCCTCACACAAATCAATTGAGATCTGTGTGGCGCACATGCATTTGGTACCTTCTTGTACCAATATCTATGTGTTAAAATAAAAAAATAAATAATAAATAGTAAGTAAGCTGACACTGTAAGATCTTCACTCATGAGTGTGTTCTCAAAACGAAAAGGGTGGAATTTTAAAGTATTGTAAAGTCATTACGGAATTACTTTTTCAGTGTCATTTATACACTGCAGACATATGAGGAAAGGTTAATATGCTAACTGAAGCCTGAAATTGATGACCAACCACTTCAACCGCATCAACTGAATGATTATGTGTAGAAGATTTTAGCTTCAATAATTAGATTTTGGATGACGGTTACTTAATTTTTACCTGTTGAAAAATCGTACACAAAAATGAAACAGATATTGAGTAACCTGAAGTTTCCAGTTGGGAGTCATCGTGTCTGAAATAAGGCTGTAAACGATTTGTCTAGTGGGAACTTCGGAGAGATTTGTAGACTAATAATTGATTACATATCACACCTCAACTGAATCACTATCCATTTTGTTACTGAACTTGATGCACTTTCAGAATATTTCAGAATGTCCAAGTAGCATACAAAATTATAAATACTTTGTTTTCCGTGAGTAAACTAGTCTTAGTAGTAAGGCTTCTTTTCATTCTTTTTGACTTCTCTTTACCGTCCGAAACAAACACTTGTTCAATATATAATCAATCCTCATCTAGCTGAAGTCGAGGCAAGATGAGAGTCACTGACAAAATGTACAGGAATCTTTGCAAGTCTTTATGGTAGTGAACTTTTTTCAATGTAATCTTTGTCAATAAAGTCAATAAAAAACAGAATGAACCTAGGATGTCTAGTCAACAACTTCGTACACACCATATCTCTTTATTATAGTTAACAAACGAGTAAATCAACAGAAGGATATGCCATACATATGTTTTAGATAGAAATCAACAAATGGCATAGAGCTTCCCTGGAAGGTTGAAAATGCAAATCACCCCCCCCCCAGTAACTCAAGTGACGTTCTCATCGTTAGGACTGGAAGTCAGTGGTTCAATCTATCAAGAAGTTATAGATACACGCTAATGAACATTCAAATAGTAGAACAAGAACGTTCTTCACCTAAGAACACTGATTTTAAACAGTTAAAGCCGGCTGAAGCTGTAAATTATTCGGAATATTAAATGGCTTTGATAATGTACCTGATCCCCTCCCTCAAGTCAAAATAAGTTTCATTAAAGGTTAGTGATGAGTCGGGTTTCCGAGAACTGCGACAGAGCCTCCGGAGGCCCTGAAGGAGCCAAAGAGTCTTAGCCAATCAGAGCACAATGGAGCTTTCTAGAATGCCAACGTGGCGTGCTACTATTGGTCAGTAGCATAATATGTCTTTAGCGGATTGGCCAAAATATGATGTTGATTTAACAAATGTTAACATCTATAAATACCCATGTTTTTCTGTACAAGAATAAACCTTGGAGTAAAGTACTTTTCGCATACTTTGCTCCTTCTCTCTCGTGTTCAGGTCGCTGTATAGTTCTAGCTTGAGGGTTTTCAAGAATAGCTTAGGAATCGAGTATAGCGTTCAAAATCGCAAGACTTATCAGTTAGCTGAGATTGAAAACAGAAAATATTAAGGTCATGAATTTGCATTAATTTAATTCAGTAAACTGACAATAATAAAGTTTTATTCCGTCATTTGGTGAATATAACAATAGTTAGAAACGAAAACACACAAAACTGTTACTTCATTTAATACAAATTCTTATAGAGTAATCACTTGATAGAAATTCTTTCATTTTTCCCTTTTTGTTTTAAGTAAGCTCTATATCAGATCATATTACTACTGCAGAATTTAATAATAATAATAATAATAGTAATGA